TGCTATACTCCTGCATGTGTTTATTGCTGCTTCCAGATGTCTGCAAATTGGGCAAGACTTGATGATCATGAGCAGCTGGGGATGGCTGAAGATAAGACAACTAAAAATGCAGAAGGATAATGTGTCCCCATACTGTGAACCCCCCTCCCTCTCATATCAACAGTTCTGGTACATGCAAGAAACTTCACCTTTGGCCATTTTAACAGATGTGACGGTAAAAAAGGCTCTTAGCTATCCCTTTAATCTGAGCAAGATGTGGCCTGGCCACATATGATTGTGGAATGGTTAGAAATACCAAAGTAGTGGGGGTGGGAAAGCAGTTCACATACATCTGTTTTCTATACATTTATATGTGGATTTAGAACCAATATTTCTAGTTAGTAAGTATTAATATATTCAGGCATAAATGTCATCTTTCTGTGCTTCATAGATGGATATCAATTATTTTATTTGTTCATTTATTTATTGAAAGTAAATATATTCACTTTAATACAACATTGCTGAAAAGAAATAAAAGCTGTTTCTTTGAATGAAATGAACATATATCAAATACACAATATATCATAATATATCAAACATGTGGTACAGAATTAACTTGCAAGAAGAAAAAAATTAAGAAGGAGAGACGTTACAATTTTATCTAAATATTAAAAAAACACCCTAGAGTAATTGTGCCATTTCCAAGTCTATTAACGGAAACTGAAGTTTCAAGAGTGTCCTATACAGTTATACTCTATACTTGGCTAGACAATCTCCCAGATAGCTTGGCCCCAACTAGGATCCAAAATCTTGTCCAAGCACTTTACTATTGTCCTGCACTTAAATTCATAATGCTCTGCCCTCTATCTTCACTGTTCTCATGTGATCTGTGTACTTTATCCATCAGCCCTATCCTCACAATTGTTTTTCCACCAGTCTGCCCACCCATACCCAGAAACTGATTGTTATCATAGAGCTCGTTGGTTGATGTTTTGCTTTTGTATTTTTTTATAATGTTGTTGTTTTATTCTGTTTTTATGTTGTCATTATATATTTTAATGTGCCCATCCCCATGTAAGCCACCACAAGTCCCTTTGGGCAGATGGACGCATTGCTTTTCTTATTATTCTCCCTCTTTTTCATTTCTAGAGGCCACTGTGCTTCTCTTATCTCATAGCTGCACAATAAGACTAGAAGGAAGCTGAAAAGGCTAGGCTCAATCCCATAATTTGAATTCCTAACAGCAAAACTGTTTTACTGAAAAAAAGTTTTGAATAAAACATATTACTAAAACCAGATTTTGTTTTACTAAAATTTCAAATTCAAATAATAATTCACATGGTTGTGTATGTTTTCCATTAGGCTCCCTCTCTCCTAACCCATTCTAGAAACACTTATTTCCCTTTAAGCTCATGACCTGCTGCTTTCCACACTAAGAATGTGATTTGAAACATATTTGTGTGAACTTTGCAAGTGCATTTAACTTTATTAAAAGCACATTGGTCAGTACTTTTGAAGTTACCTTGACATAGGAGACTGCATCAAACATTTCTTCAATTTCTTCTGATGACTTGACAGCCAGGGAGATGGGGTGAGAAGAATTCATGGAATCTTTGTCCATAGTCTTAAAACGCAGGCTTAGAAAATAGTCGTCCTGAAAATAGGAATACATTTAAAATTACCTATGTTGGAATGAACTTGACAATTTTCCAACAGCTTTACTTTATTTATTTATTTACTCTATTTATACCTTACCTTTCTCTACCCCAAAGGGGACTCAAGGTGGCTTACACATAGGCAATTATTCAATGGCTTAAAACACATACAATTCCAGTAACATTAAAATTGAAAATAATACATATTGAGCATTTAAAACATTTAAAAATATTACATTCAGTACTGGACACATTTAAGATCTGAAGAAAAGGCCTTTTCACATTTTCAATTCTAATTATCTAGGTGGTCTTTAGGGGATATACACCAGACCTCATATAACATTGATGTTACATTACACATAAAATAAAAGAGGGACATGGAATTTCTAAAGCTGAGACCATTAATTCTTCTGTCAGCATCCCATAGACAATAACTGTAGGATAGTAAAAAATGAGTACTTCTTAGTAAGGACAAACCAGAAAGAGAATCTTCTACTGCTGCCCTGGTTAGTAGCACATTTGAGGCCACAAAGAGCAAATTAAACATTTGGGCTCAAAGAGCAAATTAAATTTTAGAGAATTTTCCCTGTCAAACTGTAATTCCATAATTACAGCAAAATATGATCAAACAATCCCATGTTGATGGGAGCTCTTTTTATGATTACCTAAGAGCATTTGCCAGGAAGCTCTTCTTCACGACTTTATGTATGACCTTATTCTTATTTTACCTTCAACACATTTTGCATGTCAGGCATGCAATGAACATCTATGCTCCCAGGTATAAAAGAAAAAGATTCTAAAAGGCATATGTCTGTTAGTTGCAATAGTGGCTTGATCTGTCTGTCTCTCTGTCTGACACACACACACTGCTTAACATGTTAAACATAGTTCATAGCAGTCATGTGTTCAACCTGATGGGGTTATGGCTTGCAAGCAAGCAATACTTCCATGCCCAACTCCCAGTCTCAATGAATACTTTGAGAACAGAAACAATCTTTCTGTTGTCAAAACCTGTTTACGCGTCAGGGCTTGACTTTGCCTTCATTCACTCCACATTTCTTCCTCTAGCACCCACTCATTGCAATGCATGCACTTTAAAGAAACAGATTGTGAGGGCATATGCCATAGGCATGTTGGATCTCGTAAAGCAAACAATATACATTGTGTGTGAGAGACAATGGAACAACATGGTCATAGGTTTGAAAAATGACAGTATGAACTTCAACTCTTCCACCCACTGTCAGCCGGAGCAAGGAAGTATACTTTTTTGTTACTTAAACTCAAAAGAAAGGCAACTGTTTATACATTTTGCCACGTTTTTCCTCCTTTCATCCCCAACTTCCTGAGTTTTGCTTCATTTAAGTCACATCCAGGCTAAAGCCTTTAGCATAGTGGGTCTTACTATTCAGTAATATTTATGCAAAGGAGTACATTACTGATTTACCTAGTGAATTTCAGTAGACTATTATAATGTGTTTTATTTAAGAATTTTTAGCCCCTGTTCCTGAACACATATTCCATAGGTGAACATTTTAGATGCAGATCATTAATCACTGTCCGAGGTCAGCCCCAGGTGGCCAGACATTCCAGCAGATAGTGCTGGGGGAAGGGGAGAAAAGAGAAGGAGGTGAACAGTGTAAGTCAAGTAGGTAAGTCACTCACTCACAAAGAAATTTTCTGTTTAATAAAGCAACCTTGCACCACCAAGTGGTGAACATTTCATTCACCAACTTCTTACTTGGTTCAAAGTCTATTACTCCTACCCAGAAATTAATATGCAGAGAGATTATAGAAAAAAAAATTCCTTAAACTGAGCTCCCTATCTTTACTTTCAAAAATTGAATCTGTTTTATTCCTCTACACATCTTATACATAATTACTGAGGCTCATGTGCTTGAGAAGTCATATTTCTCTAGACTTTTTGAAAAAACTTCAGTACAAAAAAAGCATATGACACAACTAGCATATACTTGGTAAGCACTAGAATAGATACCATCATAATGAGTTCGGCTACATGACAAAGTCTCCAGTTACGCTCAACTGCTTTGGTAGAGTCAGGCTCACAGAGTCAAAGCACAGAAACCTTTTCCATTAAGAGAAATATTGGCACCGTTTACCATCCTCATTAGTATTCCCTGTTCCCTTTGGGCTTGGCTCATCAATCCTTACAGTAGCAATATATTGTTATAAGTTATCCCAGTTGCAAAATGCAAAATACTTTGCCCTTGAGTGGGCAGTTGAATCTCAATAACTTTACTGAAATCTGGCTCCTTTCAGAGGGGACACACTAAAACTTGGATGTAGTAACATACATCAATACAGATGATTAATTTCAGTCTTTAGAGGTGTCGTTCTAGGGATTGCTTACTGTATTATTTCCCTTTTTAATTTAGACTGGCAACATTACTTTTCTTCCCATACCTCAACACACACACACAACACACACACACATTATTAGTGCCAATTGCCTCTATTGTCAGGCATTTTGAATATGTTGCAAGGAAAGGTACAATTTCTCCTACCTATAACAGTTTTACTGATTGTAGCTGATACAGAAATTAATAGTTTCATTATTTGCATTGTATGGAATAGGTACCTGCTGATAGTTATTAAGAGTCGGGTGAAAACTCAAAAGATAGACCATAAGTCAACACTGTAAAACTGAGCATTTACATTACATACTAAACATCAGACAGCTGATATTTTTTGTAATCTGCAAATTGGATATGAATCAGCTTCTTCTTTAAAATAATTGCATCTTAGATAAAGTTATAACCAGCTCTTGATTTTGAAAGTGAAGTGTGAGACAGATCCAAATGAAACATTTTAACACATAGATAGATACCCAATATATGCTTACATTATATAAATCTGGAAACACTTCTTTCATGGCAAAGTTTTCCATAAAAGTGGCAAATCCTTCATTCAGCCAGAGGTCATTCCACCATTCCATGGTCACTAGATTTCCAAACCACTAAGAATGCAAAACAAATAAATATTTTCACTGCATCAGAAGAGGTAATTATGCACATTTTTAAACAAACAAAAAAGACTTGAGACGGGTTCAAAGATCCACATATAAGAATTGGTTGCCTATAACAACATTCCTCTTAGTTATTCATTGCATATATAAATTTGAAGCACAAATCAAGATCAGTCCAGCAGTATCATACTATCCTCATGAGTGATGGAGAATACCATTTCTAGAAGGCAGAAATAACCAAATGCAAATTCACTTGTAAATAGCATGAATCAGAATGGCAATGATTTAAGACTGAATGCATTTCACACCTGGTGTGCCAGCTCATGAGCAATCACTGATGCTACTCTCTTTCTATCCATTGCTGAAGACATTTCGTCATCATGGAGAAGTGTTGTTTCTCGAAAAGTGATCAATCCCCAGTTTTCCATAGCCCCAGCTTGAAAGTCAGGAAGAGCCACCAAATCTGCAGGGAGTACAAGGAAGCATTTAAAATAAGCCAGTAGCATTAGAATGTCTAACTCCCTACTAATTAAGTTTATTGAACCCTTTGGTTACACACACTATACTATTATCTGATGAAGTAAGTTTGTGTGATTTGCTAATTCCAATGGCAGACACAATCTTTATCTATTTCTATATCCATCATAAATAATATAATCTTTAAAACTCAAAGCACAAGGAACATGCAATTACCCAGACAAGATGGTAAGAAACATGCAAAAAATTATATCTGTGGTTCAGTAACTCATTCTCTCTTCTACTTCTACGCAACCAGTTTATTGCTAAGTAGGTTCCATATTTGTCACCATTAATGTGATCCCTTCAGTATTTAGCATAGTGCAGCTCCACTATTTTAAAAGTGCTACACTGATATGATGCTGCATGGATATGCATACTATGTGCGTACTGTTTTAAGAATAATTGTTTATCACACGGGAGAGCTCAAATAAATCAAAGACCATGACCATAAATCTACCTGTACACCTTTACAGGCATATCCGAATTAACAAAGCTTCTAACAAAGAAATGTCTTTCTGCTTCCTTTTCCTCTTTGTCCTTTCTGTCCAGCTGCAACCTTTTTAGTAGCATTGGCATTGGGAATAAGGTTGAGGAAAGATTGGGACTGCTTCTTCAGCCTGCATGAGAATGTGTTTCTGCTGCAGTCTTGTGCTTGCTTGCAACAAGAAAAATAAATGACAGCTGCATCCAGAATCATTGACTAAGCGTACGTAAACAGCAAAACATATAAACTTGACTTGGCAACTTACTTACTTAGGCTATCCCTCGTTGAACGAGTAGGATAGTCTTCCATGATCAGTATTCTTGTGGATCCATAGGTGGCTGTGGAGCCCTATTCTTGATCTGCATCTTCTCCCACAGTGAGGACATTGGTTTCCAGGTGGAAGGTGGTCTTGGTCGGGGTTGGCTTGATGCACCTTCCTCCTGGCATGTTTCTCTCTTTCACCCTCCATTCGTGCCTCTTCAAATTCTGCAGCACTGCTGGTCACAGCTGACCTCCAGCTGGAGCGCTCAAGGGCCAGGGCTTCCCAGTTCTCAATGTCTATGTCAGAGTTTTTAGGGTTGGCTTTGAACCCATCTTTAAATCCCTTTTCCTGTCCACCAACATTCCGTTTTCCGTTCTTGAGTTCGGAGTAGAGCAATTGCTTTGGGAGATGGTGGTCGGGCATCTGGACAATGTGGCCGGTCCAGCAGAGTTGATCGCGCCATCGCTTTAATGCTGATGGTCTTTGCTTCCTCCAGCACGCTGACGTTTGTCCGCTTGTCTTCCCAAGAGATTTGCAGGATTTTCCGGAGGCAGCGCTGATGGAATCGTTCCAGGAGTTGCATGTGATGTTTGTAGAGAGTACACGTTTTGCAGGCATATAGCAGGGTTGGGAGGACAATAGCTTTATAGACAAGCACCTTGGTATCGTTACGGATGTCCTGGTCCTCAAACACTCTCTGCTTCATTCGGAAAAATGCTGCACTCGCAGTGCTCAGGCAGTGTTGTATTTCGGTGTCGATGTTGACTTTGGTGGAGAGGTGGCTGCCAAGGTAGCGGAAATGGTCAACATTTTCTAATGTTACACCATTAAGCTGTATCTCTGGCATTGGAGAGGGGTTGGCTGGTGACTGCTGGAAGAGCACTTTCGTTTTCTCGATGTTCAATGACAGGCCGAGCTTCTCGTATGCTTCTGCAAAGGTGTTTATAGTGGCTTGTAGATCTTCTTCTGAATGCGCACAGATGGCATTGCCATCAGCATACTGGAGTTCTATAACAGATGTTGTTGTAACCTTGGTTTTGGCTTTCAGTCTGCTGAGGTTAAACAGCTTGCCATCTGTCCGATAGATGATTTCCACTCCGGTGGGAAGCTTCCCATCAACAAGGTGAAGTATCATAGTGATGAAGATGGAGAATAAAGTTGGGGCGATAACACATCCCTGTTTGACGCCTGATTCCACCTTAAATGGGTCACTTTGGGAGCCACTGCTGTCCAAGACTGTTGCCATCATGTCATCATGGAGGAGCCGCAGGATGTTCACAAATTTGTTAGGGCACCCAATTCTTTGGAGGATGGTCCAGAGGGCGCTACGATTCACTGTGTCGAATGCCTTTGCAAGGTCGATGAACGCCATGTACAGAGGTTGATTTTGTTCTCTGCGTTTTTCTTGGAGCTGTCGTGCAGTGAAGATCATGTCCACGGTTCCTCTGGAGGGGTGGAAGCTGTTCTGGGATTCTGGGAGGGTGTCTTCTGAGAGGGGCAAAAAGCGGTTTGCAAGGATTCTTGCAAGGATTTTCCCAGCTGAGGTTAGAAGGGAGATACCTCGATAGTTTCCACAGTCTGTTCTTCCCCCTTTTTTGAAGAGGGTGATGATGGTGGCATCCTTGAAATCTGCTGGGATTTTCTCGGTCACCCACACTTTTTCTATGAGCTGGTGGAGTTGATGTGTCAGCTCAGGTCCTCCCTCTTTAAAGATTTCAGCAGGGATCCCATCAGGTCCGCTCTTTTAACATGCTGGGATTCGGCAACTACCCCCAGCTTGTTAAAAGAGGATAGATCTTTAAAACAAGCCACCAAAACAAAGAACAAGAAAAGTGGAGGCTAGTAAAAGGAAAAGGAATTCCTGGATGCATTTTGGACAAAACATTGAGTGGTCTCTAGAATGTTCAAAATGTGCAGGACTGTGTTACAGAAGGAGGTCAATGGGAATGTTTCCATGTATCTCATATGGGCTGGGAGATTGTGGAGGTTGCAACAGTGGCAGTCATTTTAGTATCATATCCTCTGCACCTCCTGAGGCAAGGTGAGTATCAACACTATTGTCCTATGGATCTACTATCATTTCTAAACAAGGTATTGCTTCAGTTGTGTATATATGGCAGATACACTGTCCAGAAGATGGTGCTAAAGATAGCCGGCATGGCATATGCAGTGCATTGCTCAGCAAGTTCACTCTCCACTCCATATTATTAAAATATCTACATTAACTGGATTATAAGGATGACACCCAGTTCTTTCTCACTAAAATGTCCAACCTAAAAGATGCAGTAAAAATAAGAACACTACCTTCATATAACAGATTTGATTAAGATATGCATAATTATTGCAAGTTAAACTACTTGCAATGCATTACAGGAAAATCCACTCTTAAAGTCTGTAAGGAAACTCCAGCTGTTTCAGAATGTAGTCAACAGAGTATTAATTACACTATGCCACTCTGAATAGTTCCACTGATTAACACTGTATTTCTGGAAACCATTCAAATACAGCTCTTGAACATTAAATGATTTGGTACAGAAAATGCTTGAAGAACCTATCTTGCTGTTATGTATGGTTAGTCTCAGAAATATTTTTTGGATTTCATTTATTTATCACATTTATATCCTGCCTTTCTCACTCCGGAGGGGATCCAAGGCAGTCTTGGTTAGGGTATGAGTAATCAAAAGTGTCATTTTACTAATGGCATTAGAGTACAACCTCACTAGGAAGGTCTGGGACACAATAATCTTATGTCCTTTAAGCATCATGTTCAGAAAAGCCCTTCTTCAATAATTAATTTGCCATAAACATTTCATTTATTATTTCTTTGAACTTATTGCTATTTCAAGCATTGCTTGATATAAAATAGAAGTGAGATACCAACCGGAGACATCACCATACAATCTCAGTTCAAGAAGGGCTGCAGCTAAAACAGCTGCCTAAACTCTACTCCTATTAGCAGCTTCTATCTGCTGCAGCAGAGGAATAAGAAAAAGAAGTAGTAATAGTAGCAGTAGTTTTATTTATATCCTGCCCCTTCTCCCGGAAGGGACTCAGAGCGGCTTACAGCAAGTAGCAGTTAAAACAATACAAAAAACAGTAGTACGTAGGTCAAATTAACGTAACTTAAAATAGAACCATTGCAGTTACTGAAAACATATAACATCAACATCAAAAATAGCTGCTCTTGCCAAAATAAAAGCATTAAAATGTTAAAACAACCCAGCTGACTAAAACACCTCTATTTCAGTGATCTCCATCCCATCATTTGGCTTTTCATCAATAGCCATCCAATGTTTATTTAATAATCAGTGGGTGAATTTACTTGCTTGCCAGCTATTTTCCAGTCCTTTTCTACTTCTGCTTATTTGACTGGAAGGTTGAGAGCAAGAGATGACTTTATCTAAGCTTTATAAAGTATCTACAAAAATTTAGTATGTAAACTAACAACTAGAAAAACTAGGAAATAAATAAAACTAGTTGGTCTAGAAAAATAAAACACAAGTGCATGTATACTATGCAGAGACTATCCCAACATGTTCTGCTAATCATGCACACTGAGTGACTGCGAGTTTTAACAAAATAAAGAAAAAGGAGTTATGCCACTTTCTCACTATTGATAGTTATTATTATTATTATTATTAGAGTTCATGAAGATTTACAATTTTATTTATATTTAGGATGGAAAGGACTTGAGTCAAAAATATTTGATGAGGGAAAAATAAAAACAGCTTTGCAGATCTAGGTGTGCCTATGTCTAGATATTAGGGCTGGGCGGTAGCGTTCGTTAATTTCGTAATTCGTTATTAATTCGTTATTTTTTTTTATAACGAAGCGATATTGAACCATTCAGGAGCAACTAAAAATCAAAACGAATTTTTCAATTCGTTTCGTAATTCTTTCGTAATTGTTTCGAAATCATTTCGAAATCGTTTTGAAATCATTTCGTTATTATTTCCGCATGTCTGGTGCAAGTTTTATAGTTGTTGTTTGTTTTATCAGTGAAAAAAAATATAATTATCACACCAACAGTCAACAACAGAGGGAGAGGGAAGCTTCAGAAGTTCCCCCGTCCCATTTGGAGGTTTTTTTAGCATATTGCGCGGTCGCGTCCGCCATTAACGAATCGATTCGTAATTGTTTTGTAATTGTTTCGTAATTTCCGAAATTTCGTAAATTTCGAACTTTTTTAAAGAAAAATTTCGGAATTCTTTTAAAAATCGAAACGCAAAAACCCCCTAAAAACGAATCGAGTTTAGAAACAAATTTTTCCGTGATTGCCCAGCCCTACTAGATATGTATTGCTGTGCTTCTATGATGACAGGAAGACACAATATTATTCCCTCTCTGCTGGAAATAGCCCTACTTATTTTGGCAAATGCAAGTAGAAGAAAGTTTTATTTGGATATTTGCAATGAATTTACCAAAATCCATGCATACTTTCACATATGAGTAAAAAGAATTCAAGGTTTAGAAAATTCAAACATAGGAGAATATGAAGCTAACAATTTCCCTAAATCTCACAACATTCCTGGAAGTGTTTTCAGATGTGAAATGAATCAAAGAAGTATGGCCTACAGACTTTAAGACAATTATTTCTGCCAGAAAAGATGTAGGGGGAAAAGATTACGTGCACTGCATATAATCTTTCCCTTAAAAAAGTTTAAATACTATAACATAATGGATATTTGCAGCATGTCAGACAATCACATAAGAAAATAACATAAAATATCTTACCTAATTTTTGAAGAGGGTATGTTATATTAAAATACTTCTGGTAAAATTCAAGTAGTTTCACTGTTTTATCCAAAGCATATTTAGTGTGCACTGATTTCTGTGGCACAGCATAGATTGATACCTATCACAGCAGGAAAGATGGTTGCAAGTTAGAGGAAGACACAATGTAATCTATATTGTTTAAATGAGAACACTGTACATGTTAGAGATTTATTAATGTAATGAACATGATTACGTTCGTGAAGTAGTTCAAAGAGAACTGGTTTCGCATTCTACAATGGACAGTATAGTACAGTACAACACCCTTAATCAGATTCGATATCCAGTTTGACTTACCCACTCTGAAAAAAAGTGTTTGTGGGCTGCTCTAGATCCTCCAATAAAATTCTCTTGCATTTTCAGCCCATGTATGATAAAAAAAAACAACAACAGGGTTTCCTATTATCCGTAGTTTCAGGTATTCATGGGGGTAGGTGTTGAAACATAGATACAGGGATCGCAACATGCTACTTACATATCTCTCCCAATCACTTGTTTAACAAGTAATACAATGATATACAACCCTACATCTATACTACAAGAATTCTGAATAATTAGTTTCTGTTAAAAAGGAGCAGCTTCTACAAGGTTAATACATCTTCATTACAGTTCTGTGCTAAACCTAGAAATAACTGATTAAAACCAGAAATAAATGATTCTTGTTTCTCCCTTCTAATGAAAACATTTTACAAAGCATTAAAAAGGGTGAAAACAAATATTTCCCTCCCAAAAGGAGAAATGTGGGAAACAACAGAACTATAAAGAAGCAATAGATTCTTGGCCTTACCAATAGAATCCACCCCACAATATATCTCCTGCAAGAGTGGAAATCCTGTGTATGGCATAACTGGTTCCACTGGACTCTGAAAGCCTTTTGAAATAATTTTATATTGGTAAAATGAGCATTTACAGAACTCCTTTTTTTGTGTCAGGAGCGATTTGAGACTCAAGCTGTTTCTGGTGTGAGAGAATTGGCTGTCTGCAAGGATGTTGCCCAGGGGACGCCCAGATGTTTTTGATGTTTTACAATCCTTGTGGGAGGCTTTGCTCATGTCTCCGAATGGGGAGCTGGAGCTGACAGAGGGAGCTCATCCGCACTCTCCCCGGATTAGAACCTGCGACCTGTCAGTCTTCAGTCCCGCTAGCACAAGGGTTTAATCCATTGCGCCACCGGGGCTCCTTATAGAACGCTTTGATTCTGCTTAATCCAGATAAGAAAATTTATTTATTTATTTATTTATTTATGCACTTGTATACCGCTAATATCTCAGCCTAAGTCGGCGACTCATTGCGGTTTACAACACTTATAAAACAGTATTCAGTTTAAAAGCATAAAACACATATACAATACAAATTATTGGGCCACCAATAATAATCCCATGCATCTCGTAACTGGAATCGCAATCCAAAATTCATCGTCCATGATTACCAATCCTTTAGTCATCAAAATTCGTTGCAACGGATTAACCGAATGCTTGTTTAAACATCCATGTCTTCAATCTATTCCGAAACACCATCAGCGAGGGGGCTGATCGTACCTCTATGGGGAGGGTGTTCCAAAGCCGAGGGGCCACCACAGAAAAGGCCCTGTCTCTCGTTCCCGCCAGCCGCACTTGTGAAGCCGGCGGGATAGAGAGCAGGGACTCCCCAGAAGATCTTAGGGTCCTGGTGGGCTGATAGGCTGAGATACGTTCGGATAGATAAGTTGGGCCAGAACCGTTTAGGGCTTTAAAGGCCAACGCCAGCACTTTGAATTGAGCCCGGTAGCAGATCGGCAGCCAGTGGACCTGGTGCAGCAGAGGAGTTGTATGCTCCCTGCGCCCCGCTCCTGTTAGAATCATGGCTGCTGCCCGTTGGACTAATTGGAGTTTCCGGGCTGTCTTCAAAGGCAACCCCACGTAGAGAGCATTGCAGTAGTCAAGATGGGATGTAACCAGAGCGTGGACTACCGTGGCCAAGTCAGACTTCCCAAGGTACGGTCGCAGTTGGCGCACAAGTTTTAACTGTGCGAATGCTCCCCTGGTCACCGCCGAAACCTGGGGTTCCAGGCTCAGCGATGAGTCCAGGATCACACCCAAACTGCGAACCTGCGTCTTCAGGGAGAGTGCGACCCCGTCTAACACAGGCTGTAACCCTATACCCTGTTCGGCCTTGCGACTAACCAGGAGTACCTCTGTCTTGTCTGGATTCAATTTCAATTTGTTCGCCCCCATCCAGACCGAAAACTACAATCAACACCTGATGATTTGCTCACAAAAACTAGGGAACACTGGTTAACCTATATACTAAGGAAATACACCACAATGTTGTGTCAGAAAAATAACAAGGAAGGAAAAAGTAAGTTAGAAGTATACTTACCAAAATTCCACTTGTTTCCTTACTGACATTTGCCAAATTTCCGACAATGACAGCTACTAGATAAGTGCTCATTTTCAAACTGACAGAAAATTCATCTTGAACCAATTCATCTGTCAGTGGTTTTATTGCTTTCTGGAAAGACAAATGCGACACTGGTGCTTAATTGGTAAATAGAAGCCTAAAGACCATGGAACAAGACAGAACCACAGCATCGGCCTGTATTGATACTCAGAAAATAAACTAATGCAAAGATATATAGATATATGTATCCTAATATACAGAATGTATGGTGCAAGATGTTGAGGCTTCCTACACTTGCACTGCCTAACAGCTTGCAATTAATATCATGAAGTCCACATCTGAGCAACTGTAGCCATCTAAAGAATTTGGGACTATAATTCCTAGAGATGAGAAGGCCAGTGTGTAGAATATGTTCTTTTCGGATGATAAATAATCTATATATTACACGGTATTCAAACTGTATAACATGAAGACCTTAATGAAAGATTTTTGAGACTTTTTCTTCTAGACACTCCACCCCCCTCCCCCTTTTTCTAACTGTTTTTTCCCCAATTTTTCCGTTTTTTCCCCAGGTCTTCCTATCTAGTAATTCCAGAAGCCCTAGCAATATAAGCAATAATGGGAGATTCTGAAAGTTGAAGGTTAATAAATGAAAATTGAAGTTAACAATGATACATTGCATGATTTTGATCTTAGTGGACCGTCTCAATAAACATTATCCTGTACTGAAGAAGAATGGCTCAAACCTTCAGAATAATAAAAAGAAATACAGCCATGGGCAAGCAGCTTTTAAAACACAGAAATAAGCTCTGCAAGGTGCTTTTGTTTTAATCATGAAGCTTTTATCACCAGCCCCAAATACCCAATTGAATCTTGACAATTTTCATATACAAAAGTATGGAGAAGTTTTAATCAACGTGTACTATTACACATAAGGCTATAATTACGAAAAAAAATGAGGCTATAATTACGAGGGGAAAAAATCAACAAATCCTCCTGCTAGTTATGGGTAGGTAGGAAATCATTATCAAAATAACATTTTTTATTTTGTTAGCTTAAACTTTCCCCCTGAAACTACCATTCCCTCCCATCTCCAGTGTTTCTATCACCAAACACCTCGAATTTCTGGTAACAATAATGTCAATTCCGGCTCCATAGATGATATATAGGGTGTTTAAAAAAGATGGCCCCTATTTGAAATCGTGGCATTTTGCAACCACGACCTCTGAGTGAACCTTTTACCACTTGATAGGGTGAGACATTGAATTTGATGAACACTAGGTGCCTCTCCCAGTGCACAAACAGTACCTAGTCTCAGTCGTTCGCAAGAACACAAAACGCCTTGTTTCGCAGGATTGCCAGAAAAGCATAGAAACTTTTGTAGTAAGTAGCCATCAGTTAAAATTTAATTGTCTTATCTACCCACCCACACCGATTGACTGTAGCACAACACTAGCTTTGGAATATAATTTCAAGTTTAGTACCATTCAGTGATGGTCCAAGGGTCAGTGTCAGCCTACCTAATTACTTCTGGCTTTATGCAAACCAGAAGTAATTAGGTGGCCCTTCCCCTCAAGGTGGACTGTAAACGAAATTTAGTTATATGACTTGTCCAGGCTTGAATATTGAGCACTTCACAAACACGTGGAGCTGGCCACTGTGGGATACTAAATGTGTTGCTATTGTCATGTGACTTCAAGTCAACTCTGACTAATGGGGATCCTATCATCAGGTTTTATTGGCAAGTTTTATTCAGAGAAGGTTTGCTTTTGTCTTCCTCTCTGGCTGAGAGAGTTTGACATCCAAAGGCCAGCCCATGGGTTTCCATGGCTAAGCCAGGATTCAAACCTAATTTTCCTAGTCCAACATCCAAACCATTAAGCCAGATCTCCACAGTGATATTTTTATCTGATCCAACAAGGCTTTTCTTATAGTCTTTTGCCTACTAAACATTCATTAGGCAATGCCCACGTTTATATTTTCTCCACATTAATGTAGAAGATAAAGCCCGAGCACTTCATCACGATAGTGAGTTTTCCACCAATCAAAAAGTTTATCCAATTATGTGGCAAAACATATGACCGTTACACTCGAATTTAAATTTAAATTTCATTTAAAATACAATAGAATAATAATAATAATAATAATAGTAATAGTAATAATAATCTTTATTTATACCCTGCCCCATCTCCCTGAATGGACTCCGGGCAGCTCACAAAAGCACTCAAGGTGCCACAAAGGAATAAAATTACATAGCACCAGAACAATAAATTAACTGAATACAAAGGACAACATCAATTGATGAAATGAAGAGTTTAAAATTTCTAAAGCACAGTCAAGCCTGCAGGTCATTGGACCCGGAAACTAGTCGGAAGCCAGTGTAGCTGCTTTAATAGAGACGTGGTATGCTCCCTATAGCTAGCCCCAGTTAGTAATCTGGCAGACGACTTTCGTACTAATTGCAGTTTCTGAGCTGTTGTCAAAGGCAGCCCTATGTAGAAAGCATTACAATAGTCTATTCTGGATGTAACTAATGTGTGGACCACAGTGGCTAAGTCAGGCTTCTCGAGGTACTGTTGCAGCTGACACACCAGTTTTAACTGTGCAAAATGCCCTCCCAGCCAATACCTGCGCTTCAAGCATTAGTGATGAGTCCAGGAAAACACCCAGATTGCGGACCTGTGTCCTCAGGGGGAATGTAACCCCATTGAGCACAGGTTGCCACCTATACCCTGATCAGCCTCACAACTGACCAGGAGGACCTTTGTCTTGTCTGGATTAAGCCTCAGCTTATTGGGCCTCATCCAGTCCATCAAAACTGCCAGGTACTGGTCCAGGATCCGAGGAGCTTCCTTGGAATGAGGTGGAAAAGAGTAGTAGAGTTCTGTGTCATCTGGGTAGAGATGGCACCCAACTCCAAAACTCTAGATGTCTTCCAACAGGGCCTACCTAGTCAATTTTAAACCATGAATTTTAAATTTTCATTTTGTTAGTATTCGTGTTTTAATCTTTGTTCCATGTTTTTAATCTATTTATTTTATGATACTTTGTTTTAGCTATGTATTTTAACTGTGCTGTAACCCACCTTGAGCAATGAGAGGAGGCAGGTAACAAATAAAAAGTACAATAGTAGTAGCAGTAGTATTACTACACACTATAGCATAATAGGATGTCCAACCCTGTCCCATCCCCACACCAATTTAAATAAGGGTACAGAATTTTACCTTTGGCATATTTGACAGAGTAGAGTATTGCTTTTCCCTCTTGACTTTGATTTGAAAAGTGGCTTTGAATGCTGGTTCATCAAAGCATGGAAATGCTGATCTTGCTGCCAGGGGTTCAAATTGAGTTGCTGCAAGCCACCTGATAAAAACAGAAATAATATAGTGTTTAATGCTAGAAATGTAATTTATATTATGATTTTTTAAGGTTGTTATACATTCAAAGCAGTTGAAAAAAATATTTAGAGTAAAGGCTTGTTACTGTTCCAGAAAGTCTTTAAAATTGTAGATATGTTAATAGCACACTAGGCATACAAATAGCCTATTTGAAATTACTCCAGGTATTTGTTCTTCTTCATATAATTTTAGTACATGTGATGCTTTATAATTTTAGTACATGTGATGCTTTATAAAGTTTCCCAGGTCACCATTATACCTACTCTAAGCCAGTTGCAGTTTTAGACACTATTCAGTTTTATTGCAATTGACACACATCTGTTTTTCTTAAGTATTAAGCTAGCCAAATGTTAAAATGTGACACAAACATTCTAATTTACATTTTGGATTTGGCATTTGGTTTTGCTCAAAGCCTCTTAAGCAATAATAATAACAACAACAACAACAACAACAACAACAACTTTATTTTTATACCCCACTTCCATCTCCCCAAAGGGACTCGGGGCAGCTTACAGAGGGACAAGCCTAAGGATTACAAATAAAACGGACACAGTAAAAACAATCAATAACAACAAATAATAAAAACATTAAAATCAATTAACATCATAAAACAATACCCTGGCTGGCCAATTTGAAACTGGGTTCGGGCTCAGAGTAAGTGCAATGATTCCTTGGGAGAACAGAGGGAAAGTGCAATAGTCAGAGGGCTGGGTTGCCAGGGTAATGCCCTTGGCCACTAAAGTGTCATAAGTACAGGAAAGGGGCCAACTAAAGTGCAGGAGCTTAGATAAGGTCAGGATAATTCTCAAGTGAACTGGCTAGGCAAAGGCACAATGGAACAACCAAGTTTTTAATTCCTTGTGGAAAATGGAGAGAGTGGGGGGCTGTCTGATCTTCCTAGGAAGAGAGCCGAGGGACCACCACAGAAAAAAACACATACACTGCCATCTCCAGTTCCAGAACCAAGGGGCCACCACAGAGAAAAAAACATACACTGCCATCTCCAGTTTTGAATGTCATAGTATTGAAGTATGAAATGTTTCCACAGCTCTATAAGTTCTGATAAAACATAGGCAGGAAGGGGGAAAATTGTTCTGACATGGACATCTAAATTGCTCAGAATTAGTGTCTACTTCAAAAAGGTACAGCATTGTGCTTTTTGTTCTAGGTTAGCTTGCTCAACCTTGCATCCTTCAGGTATTCTGGAAAGAGAGTATGGAAAAATTAGATTTAGGAATGGAATTTCCCCCATCCTAGCCAGAACCAGTGCTAGCATTGAACTAGTAGTACATCGGATGCTAATGCACATTATAGCACATCAGGTTGTAGAAAACTGTCATTGTCAATGAAAATTTGGGAAAACTCAGGGAAGTTACCAATAATAGGAAATTGGTGTAAAAAACCATTATAGCACTCATCTTTCTAACAGGTAAATGTTGAAAACTATAGAAGAGGGCAAGGTAGAACAAAGTGGGTGTCCTAAAATTAGCCATTACCACAACGAGATAGCGATAGGAAGCATTCTAGATTGACATACTAATGACATGAAGCAAACAGATTTTTCATCATCTCTCATGCAGCTGTCACATTAAACTCTTTACATATTCTTTCCCAACACATTTTCCCATAAACATTATGACAGCATGCACTGAAAAGATATCTATACCAATGATATAGCAGTGAGCATGACTACGGCATTGTTTGAAATGAATGTAAGACCAAACCACTGCTGGCAACAACACTGGACAGAACATGTTATAATATTACTGACTGTAATACACCACATGCATGCAGTAACATGTGAGTGCATAGAATTTTTGTTAAAAATAGTGAATGGGCTGGAGAAGGAGACACAGAAAACTCTGTCTCCTTTGCTAGCTTGAATGGCTTCAGTTCTGACCATGAAGAAAGGGGGGTTCTGTTCCTCATAGCTAATATGGAATATATTGAGCCTGCAAAGGAAAAATGAAACCTTGCCCATAATGTTTTGCTATTAGAAACTGCTTATTAGCCTGTTTTTAATAACCCTTTTTATGAGTAAAACACAGTCAAGTAAAACAGGTTATCAGAATTCACCGTGTTGTCTTATTCATAGGGTTGCCCTGGTTTCAAGCAGCCTGGTCTCCACTGGAAAGATCATGTGAGTTAATAGCAGAGGGTGTCATGTGCTTTTCTGTAACCAGATTTTGCTTTGGGGAAAACCAGATGAAGGAGAGTGTTGGATACTCTTTCCAGAAACACAAGGAGAACATTTGCAAAATGGAACCCCAGCAAAAGGCCAAGAAAGAGCTTGGGTACAATGTTGGACTTAAGGAACCAATGTTGAATAGTCCACTATTCCTTTTAGTCAATTGTTCTCTCAGGAAATATTCAGTGAGAGGAAGCACTGGGTTTGACTTCCTGAAATCTGCCTTTCCTAGGTATGTGTTTAGGAGCCCCAGCTGCTCTGCACAACTGCAGAGACATTGGTATCCCAAGCAATCTGTATCACAGACTCTGTAACACAGCTGACCAATTGTGGTTTACTAGGTTTTGCAGGATTGCAGCTCCCAGCTTCCTTTACCATTGGCTCTGCTGGCTAGAGCTAATGCGAGCTGCAGTCCAACAGCATCTGGAAGACCACACTTATCCCCTCCAGGACCACAGGAAGCTCTGTGGGATAAATCTGTGTTACAACACAGGATTCCTTCCATATACAGATGCACTCAACATTGAAATTGAATGGGCCAAAGAAACAAGAATCTGGAAACAAATTCAAGTGAAAGGAATTTCTGGGAAAAGGAATAGTTGTGTGGATTTTAAAGAATAATAGTTTATTTTATTGTTGAGATGCTTTAACAGACAACAGTAGGGACAATATTAACAAATGGTGTAGATTTATTTTTTAACTGAGCTACATTCTTTTGCAATGTTGAGGGAAATGGCTATTTTAGTACAGATCTCCAGGAGAGGTCTGATGCTAAATGAGTGAAGAAAACATTCAACCAAGATACGGCTTCGTTCAAACAGATTTTCTTTACATATTACATGCATGTGGATTTACTCCAAATAAAAACAACAACAATTTTCCAAGCTTACCTTGTTGAATTGCTATCTTTGAAGGCAATTTTATAGAAACCATAATATGTGTCTGATAAATTAGAAGAATATTCCATGCTGATGTTATACTCTTGTCCTACGAGAAGAGCCTCTGGAGCCAAAATTGCAATCTGGTCATTCAATGGATATTCCAGATGTTCAACTGGTTTAGGCAGGGTTGAACCTGATGAAGCAATGGTTGCCTTGGTAATATTAAGTTTTGAACTATGAAGTATAATATGCCAAGTCACCTGATGAACTTTCACAGTTATCTGAACAGAACCTTTGAATGTCATAGTATTTAGATTTGGCTCCAAAACAACATCATAATGTATGGGCACAACAGAACCTGGAAGTCTAAAATGTGCCCACGGAAAGGGCTCCCCATTTGTTGCCAAAGGATATATATCTTCTGTTGTGTGGTTCCTCTTATGACAACCTTCTTTGGTAAAGGTACATTTGGGAAGAAGATAGATTGCCATTATTACTGAGACAGCAATCACAAGAACAACAGCACAAATCACTGTGGTCCTTGCAGAAGGTGCAGAACATGATCCATCAGAACTCTGTCTGTAACCCCCTGAGTTATTACGTAGGCCAGTGCTTCTGTTCATAAAAGACATTCCCAGAAGTTTAGCTGATGATGATTCATAATCCTCTTCATCCTCATCCATTTCATGATCTCCAAGTCCACGTACAAGAAGCCGAGAACTCCTTGGCTCATACTCCACTTCATCAGGCTCCAGCGGGTGCAAATTATGTTCTTTAGCCAAGTCAACTACATCAGGTTCTTCCTCAAACATGCTGTTTTCAATCATATTCCTAGGTAACTGGATTCGATCTAAGAAACACAAAAGGAACATATCATTAAACATGAGTGAGGAACATGAGTGAATGTGTTCTGTCAAGCACAAAAAAACGACTTTTGATTTCTAAGGAACAATCACCCACAATAACACACAGAGCTTACTCTCACAAAAGCAAGCACAGGCTTGTAGCCTTGCTGTGAACTTCCATATTACTGTACCCACAAGAACTACCAAGTTGAACAAAACTTGATGCTATATGCACATATCAGTGCATGTTTCACAGCAGAAATGTAAGTTTTCAGTTATACTGCAATGGTATGGCCAATGGAACTTGCTTGGAAATAAACTCCATTTAACCGAATTGTATTTAGAACAAACTTATGTAGGTTTTGGAGTTCTGAAAAGTTAATATTACACTATGCTGGCTAAGGGATTCTGGATATTGTATTCAGAAAAGTAATGTTTCATGACCTAACAAACCCTGCACATCTGAATTTGCCACTACACGGCTTGTCATAAAATGCCTCACACAAAGGTTACAGCTCCAAGCTGGTGCACAATTTTTCCTTGCTGAGGTATAACAGGTGCTGTGATATTTGCTCTGACAAAAGCACCACATTTTAAGCACCGGATTTATAAAAAGACCAATATTGATGGCGTTAACAACAATATTCATAATTTCCAAATGTGGTATAAGAACTTCAAACATGCCTAAGGATAAGATAGTACGCATTTGTAACTCTTCCTTAGGCATGTTTGAAGTTCTTATACCACATTTGGAAATTGTGAATATTGCTGTGGCTCTTAATGAGACATGCTGCATTATTACAAGATGTCTACGCCCAACACCGCTGGAGAAATTATACTGTTCAGCCGGTATCGAACCACCTGATATCCGTCGGGAAATAGCAGCCAGCAGTGAAAAGACCAAAGGCATTGACATCTCCAGCCCATCCTCTGTTTGGATATCAGGCAGCATGCCCACGACTTAAATCAAGAAACAGCTTCCTAAGATCTAAAGAGATACTTACAGGAACACCTCAGCAAGCAAGAGTCCAAAAGTGGCAGAAAAAAAATACAGAACCTCAATCAATGGCCGATACTGGATAAGAATATCCCTCCTGTGCACATAGAAGGCTCGGCAACTTGGAAGGCAGACTGCAGAACTGGCAACATGAGATGCAGAGCCAATCTTAAGAAATGGGGCTACAAAGTGGAGTCCACTACATGCAAGTGTGGAGAAGAGCAAACCACAGACCACTTATTACAATGCAGTCCGAGCTCTGCCCCATGCACAATGGAGGACCTTCTTAAAGCAACACTAGAGGCACTTGAAGTGGCCAGCTTCTGGTCAAAGGAAATTTAGCATAATGCCAAGTTTGTGGTTTTTTATACATTATAACTGTATTCTTAAGTTGCTTCTGACAGGATAACTAAACAAAGAATAATAGAAAATTTCATGCCTAAAACATTAGACAGCCTCTGCCAGCCTGGGTAGTATACTATATAATACAGCAAGATGGTCAAACAGCCTAAACTTCTATAGGACTGCTATAGGACAATCTTTAGCTGCCATGGCTCAATACTATGACATCATGGGAGGTGTAGTTTGATAAGGTGAAAGACCTTGTAAAAGTACACATCTATGTAGAATACCCTTGGCTCTTGAGTCCTTTTTATTCCCCCAAAGATAAGAAAGTAAGAAAATACTCAGGAAATCATTAAAAATTGTTGCTTTTTATCCACGTGGATGAAGTGTAACACTGAGTTCCTCTAAGTATTAGTGGTTTTGACAATCTGGTATCAAATCTTATGAGTTCTTCCTGGGCACAAACATCTGATATCTCCACATCTTTCCTGTTGACAAAGACTGTTTTACTCACTGTTTCAGCTTGATACACATAACAAATTAGTCATCTCTTGGCTCAGTAGAATTGCTACCTCTCCACTGAAATGAATGGAGCTGTACTCGCATGTTTGAAACTGTGTCACTATATTTTATCATTAATGCAGTAGGGTAGCTGTTCTAATTTACCCTTTCTAAGCCCTATCAGATATCTATTAAAAGTACAACTTTCTTAAATGATTGCATATTGGGTTATGGATAGTGAATTTATAATGTTGAGAGAGTTATCTGCTTCTAGAGACATTGTACCATCACTATCTGGGCATAGCCTCCAAGCTATAAACAGAGGTAATATCGATATATACAAATGAAACTTAATGAGAAAAAAACCGAAGCCAATCTCAGACATATAGATGGAAGACAATTGCTCCAAGTACAAACCATCTCTGCAATGAGGCCTTAATCCTGTTCAGGGACAGGCAGGCAGCATATTAGTAGCCTTTAATTCCAAGCTCTTTTCATAGCAGTAAATCTATAGAGCCAGAGTAGTGTAATGGTTTTAGCATTGGACTATGACTGTGGTGACCAAGGTTTGAATACCCAATCAGTCATGGAAATTCACTGGTTGACTTTACGTAAGTTAAAATATCTCAGCCTCATCACAGTCAACAAGTCTTGAGGTGGAATCATATACCAGACTGAGATATTAGTCTCACTAATTTCCTTGAGAATGTCCAAAATGGAATTAGGAGTGGGATGAAAAGTATCTGAAAAAGAGTACAACTTGATATCATTTACTTTACTTTTTACAGCTTGCACAACTGTGGCTGCTTTGTATAGCTTCACTGACATGTATAGCTACTTAAAATAGTACCAAGAGATATCCAATCAAATTTTAAATCTAAAATCAAACAAAAAATGCCCATAATGGCACATACACATAGGACCTAATCAGCACTACTGGATGTAAAAACTATATATGGGAATCAACCTATTGATCAGAGCTTCTCCAACTCAGTTATTTCCGCTCACTGCGCATTCATTGATCCACTCTGTTATAATTATGATTTCTATCATATTAGAAGTATTACCCATGCTTCTTAGAAAGAGTGTAAGTTTATGTTTCAGCTTTCAAAAATAGGAGCAGGCTCTGTGTTTCTCTGCATTTTCAATTCTGGAACACAGTTGAGAAAAGCTTATTGAACAAGTGGTAACACTATGTTCCTTGAAGGACCTTATATTTTGATATATATGTGCCTCAAGTGGCCTTTTAAAAATGATACAAATAGTGTATAGTATTTTTATAGAATTATAAATGTTGAAAATAGCTATTAAGATGGCAAAGCCAACTCAAGAGGAAGATTTATAATAGAGGCAAATGGGACAGGAAATACTGTACAGCAAAACAAAAGCATTACTTAATCTCTCAGATTTTTTTCTGCACTTTCTTAAACAATATCTGAATAAAATTGCAGCAACATTAAAATACGATTTTATGAAAACCTTTTCAGGACTTAAGAGAGGAAAATATTTTTCGTGGGATGGACCTTTTTAAGACAAATGTTGCTGACATGCAACTTCCATCATCCCTGCGCATTACAGCCAACAGTGAGGAATGGCATAAAGTACAGTCTGAGCACTGCTTCTTAAACTGCAGCTCCCAAACTCTTAGTTCAATGTTGGAGTCATGAAAAAAAATTGGCAACAGTAAAAGATTTCTGAATGCCATCTATTTACACAAATCTGTTAACAACAACATTCAGTGTTTACAGTTGAGTCTGCAGAAAATACTTTAGGTGTACTCCACAAATAGGAAACTAAACTTGTTTAGCAAGCTGTGAATGCTAATTTATTATCAGTAAATGTTTGGTTTTTATACCTACCTGTGTACATGCCTGGGCTCACATAAAAATTTCTCAGGAAGAAAGGTTTAAGAAGCCCTAGTCTAGAGCACCGCTACTTAAAGCAGTGGTCCCTAGACTGATGCTGGTTCCTAACACATGGAAAAAAATAATTTCTGGCTCTAGAGTAGGCATGGGCAAACTTCGGCCCTCCCGTAATTTTGGACTTCAACTCCCAAAATTCCTAACAGCCTACCAGCTGTTAGAAATTGTGGGAGCTGGAGTCCAAAACACCTGGAGGGCTGAAGTTTTCCCATGCCTGCTCTAGTCCAAATAAACATTGGTCCAGAAGGCTGCCTGGCACAGGGTGCACCTCCTCTAAATACTCTGATCCAACTGATCAAATTGTATAATGTTCTTGATTACAGATAGAAAGGAGAGTAAAAACTGCCACCTGCTAGTTATGTAATCACAAGTCTTTTATTTGTATTTTAGGAAACTGTGTAAAGAATGGCTATTCTACAGTAAGTCAGAGAAGATGATTGATAACAATTAACATCTAAACTGTATGTCCATAGCATACAGCATTGATTGTAAATACTAGGGATCAGGGCTGGGCAACCACGGAAAAATTTGTTTCTAAACTCGATTCGTTTTTTGGGGTTTTTTGCGTTTCGATATTTAAAAGAATTCCGAAATTTTTCTTTAAAAAAGTTCGATATTTACGAAATTTCATAAATTACGAAACAATTACGAAACGATTTCGAAACGAATACGAATCGATTCGTTAATGGCGGACGCGACCGCGCAATACGCTAAAAAACCTCCATATGGGACAGGGGGAACTTTTGAAGCTTCCCTCTCCCTCTGTTGTTGACTGTTGGTGTGATATTTATAATTTTTTTTCACTGATTAAACAAACAACAGCTATAAAACTTGCCCCAGACATGCGGAAATAATAACGAAACGATTTCGAAACGATTTCGAAACGATTTCGAAACGAATACGAAGCAATTACGAAACAAATTGAAAAATTCGTTTTGTTTTTCAGATGCTCCTGAATGGTTCAAAATCGCTTCGTTATAAAAAAAATAACGAATTTTTAACGAATTACGAAATTACGAAACGAAACCGCCCAGCCCTACTAGGGATATATGCATTTCATGATTACCAAAAGCACATACTTGATTTCCCTCTCTCTTTTTTTTTTATTACTATAATTAGACATATTCTTCATATCTTTATCTTCTTGTTTAATGTCATTTTACTCTAGCATATTCTAACTACTGACAGGTACAATTATTTCATTGTTTAGCTTTTAACTTATTTCTTATATCTCACCTCA